TATTTGCCCAGATAGTCGATTCGAGGCGGAATAATTGATGCTGTTTGAACTCATTTGGTACAAATCTGTTCTGATACATTTTGATGTGCTCTAATGAATCGAGTAATTACTTTGACCGCGTCAACTGCAAGAATTATTCTATGCATTATTCCGGTGATAAATGATTTGCCAGAATTGTTAAAATTGATAATAAAACGATAACAGTAAAACCAAAAATTTAATTAGTAAGTAATATTCATTTTTGTGATTCCATGAATGGAAAAAACCCTCTAATGCAGAAAATTTAAGGATAATGAAGGTATCGTACTGCATGAATACCATAATAACAACAACGGGGTTTCGGCTTACCAATGTTCTACCAAATACGATATCGATGAGCGATTATTCCACGTATTTCTGATTGAATGGGGCGCGAAATTATGAGTTGCATTTATGCACTGGCAATCTAATTATACGAAAATAATCTAATTACAACAACAGCCCGTGCACTTCAGCTTTGGCGCTGCGGCAACTGACGCATTTTTCCATTAAAGCCCGGACTAAAATCACCTCGAATGCGATATGAACGCGCGTTAGGGATTTCAACGAACAACGCCACGCCAGATATTTGCGGGGTTTGTTTGCGAAAGTTGATTAAAAATTACGAGAGAGGTAACAGTAGAGCTTTATTCAGCGGTTAATTATAAAACAACACTTTTGCCAGACGTTAGCTGTTTTCAAATGAACTGCCTTTTCAAATTATTTAATGAGCATTTTAATGAAATTCATATAGTACAGATATTTTATTAATGTATTCAAAAAGGCAGATAATGCGATCGATAATATTTTCATCAAAGATAACCATATGCTAGGGGCACAGACAAGATTTGAAAAACGTACACAGCAGAGAAACTATTGCTATATCTATATGACGTATTTATGCATGGTCGAACAGACGGTGTACGTGATTCGGAAACAACTCGTTGCTTTAATTTTCGTAGCACGCGCATTTAAGAACAGAAAGAAAAACTGTATATTCTGAGTAGTAGAAAAGCCACGAGTGTAGAATCTGGAAGAAGGCTTGCGTGGCGGATACGCGTCAGTCAAAAGTTCGCGCGAAACCTTTCAGGTCATTTGATACTTGTTCCGGGAGAAATCTCCCACTTGTGGCTCACGGGAAAGAGAGAAAAAGATATTTACTTCGATCTCGCGAGCACTGCTGCTGCAGCCGCAGCTAAATCTTGACTGACGCCCAGGCTTCCTTCCATTTCCAGCGGCGGCGACGACGACGACGAAGACGCGCCTCTCCGTGGAATTGACAAGCGAGAGTGAGGAACAGATCACCGATTGGTGTGTCGCGCTATATTTAGCACCGTCTCGTACGTCGTCGATGCACCGCAGCTTTTACGAGAATTTTTTGCGAGTATAAGTGTGGCGTGTGTGCTATTGTATCAGTGATTTGCTATCACGCCAACGGAATTCTATGTAGACGAGATTGATGCCGTGAATAATAAACGGATGTAAAACATTGAATAAAACTTGTTCAAAAATCATTTTCCATATACAGTTGTAAATTCTTTTTAACTTTCTTTGTAATTCATGGAAATGCTGGTGCGCGCGTATGTGCGTCCATGAAATCGCGGGTGCATAACAGAACTCTGAAAAACCTCGGTTCTAAATCCAGTATCTTTATCTCTCTCTCTCTCTCTCTCTCTCTCTCTCTCTCTCTCTCTCTCTCTCTCTCTCTCTCTCTCTCTCTCTCAGCAGGATGGTTGGAAAGCGTTTGAGGAAGGTGCCAATTTTCACGATTTGACTAGGGTGGAGAGAGAAGATTCCAACGGTATTAGTCGTTGTCGACACCTCGAAAATCCCCGTGGCTGCGAGATTCAATCGTAGGACGAAGAATTACCCTTTCGTGGGAAGAGGCTTTCAAGTAGTAGTTTTCTTCTCGCGATCTAGATTGAATTTCTATCGAGGCGATCATTGCTCGAGATATATATCTATAGGTAACTGGTTTACCTTTAGAGAAATGCTATTTTGCTACGCGACATTGTTGTTTTTCCTTTTTTCTCCTCTGTTATCATTTTGGTTGTCATTCATTGACCTTATTTTTATTGACTGTCATTCGTGCTGTGCAGCGTTATACTATCAAGTCGACGCTAATGGTCTTTTATTTCCGATATTTGCGCGAGGTGAAACTTAATAGACTTCGTCGTCATTGTCGTCGTCGTTGTTGTCGTCGTCATCGTCGTCGTCGTCGCCGTCTTCGTCAGCAAATTGGAACAAATTGAAAAATAAACAAATAAAATTTGTAATATATTTATAAACCAGTAGAGGTAGATTGATATTCAAACTTGCAAGTTTGATGAAATATGTGTGTTCACGTGCTTCTCAGTTTAAAACCTGTCACGATATAGAGTGCGCCCAAGAATTACGTTGTCGAACAAGAAATCCGTTGACGCATCTATTCACGCTTTCTGAGTATATATATGTGTACTTGTATGTATGTGAGCTTTGGCTCAACTTCATCGCCGACGGCAATGCTTCGACGAAGTTTCAAGGTGCGCGTAACTTTGTAATTCGGTTGAGAAACATAACTTCTTTCAGTGTTACCATCGTGGGTATTTCACGAGACTATCGAATGGTTATTTACTCAAAATTGAATTACACATATACTAAAACTCGATATGTGTACGTTTGCAGTAAAATAATAAATATCGTTAGTACTGTCTGATCAAATAGCATTTGTACTACTGAAAATGTTCTCGCGCATTCACTTTGTTTTGTAACATTTCAATAAGTTAGAAATTTGGTTCATTAAAAAAAAAACAAAATACAATTAACTTTTAGTTAATTTATTTGACGATATTTTTAACGTGCTTTTAAAAATCTCATTAACGTGCGGTTAGGTTCGTTTCGTACAGATATAGATTCTACACTAATTTTAAAATTTTTCAAATATTATCTGACATTATATCTTTCTACAGAAAAATTAACAAAAAATTATTTGATATGAAAAATTCTACACGGTACAACTGTACATTTAATTATTTTGTAATAATGAACAGAATATTATACATATAATTCTTTCCAATATTTATTTATTCCTGGAAACATATTTTATGTACAATACTTTGAACCGGCCATTTTCTTATCGAATTTTCTGAAAAAATTTAGTTATTCAATAGTATCTTTTTTTCTTACAAATATTATTTTATGTTTTTTGTTCAATTAACAAACCATTATATTCAATAAATGAAATTTTTAAAGTCATGTAAAATCAAATTGTGCAGAATCAATATCCATACGAATCGAACTCGGTTTAACGTGCGAAGATGTATCTCGTATCTTTTAAATTTTTATTCTTCTTTTTTAAGAACTCATTTTTGCGGTGGTTATTAAGAAAATAGAAATAAAAGTATTATCCTTCAGCAAAAAACAGAGCAGTGGTTTTTAAATACTCGTTAAACAATTCAAGAAACAAAGAAGAAGAAAGAAAGAGAAAACAAAGAGTACACTGAAATTTAAACATCTGCAAGCGTATGATTATTTTCTCATAATCTATTATAACTTTGTTACACCCTGAAGACTTCAACGGATCCAAAATTTACAAAGTAGAAAACAATTACTCCCCCGTACAGTTCTCGGATATTTCTCAAATTTTAAATCTCCAAGACTGACGTCATTTTTCATCCGTCGAGTGATTATTTGGCGAGAAAGAGAGAGAGAGAGAGAGTGAGAGAGGGGGGGGATATGACCGTCCAGAAAAATCTGTAAAAACTCATTTCTTCGTGATCACTCGACCGAAAAAAAGTAGCAAATGTATTACGAGCGTATATCCCATCGATTTCTCGAAGATAATAGTCTTTTGAAGGATAGGGGTAAATAGTAACGCGCGTCGTCGCCGTATAGGCCTCCGTGGAAAAGATAGCTGCAAGAACGAACGAGAAAAGATTATCATAAATCATCCCTTAAACCGACACGTCGAAGCTCCCAACGAACGAGCGACTCGAGCGGCCAAACGAATTTACGTCTATCAACGTGCTTTCATCTTCACGTCTTGCTCCTTTCTTTCACCCTTGTAGTGACTGCGCTTGTCTTTGTTTGTTCTTATTTTACTTAAGTTTTTATCAGGGGATTTGATGGCGTGAGATTATTCCTCAGGGCGATGCCATTAGCTTATTGATACTTTGACGTTCTTTAAGATACCCAATGATTTATGAGCTATAGAAAGAGAAAAATGGAATATACTGTATTTCCGTGCTGTTTTTTCCCGCTCAATTTGACTGTTTGCACACGTAACATAGTCGCATTGATGAGGCAGAAAGAGAAAAGCTTGCTTGGTTGATTGTGGTGATATCGTTGTATGTAGCGCAATGCGCTAATAAACAAACTGAGTAGTGCGCCAATCAGGGTAAATGGGTTTGGCTCTAGCACGCACGCTATCGCGGCGCGGCCGCGGCAGTTTAATTCTAAATTATACGCTTAGACTCAAAGCGACCACTACGACTGTAAAGTACACGAGCGCGTGGCTAGCGATAGTTGCGGTCAACGCTTCACCCGAACGCTTCAACGATTTTCGAATCGGTTGTGTTTCGTTGTTGCATCCAGCTGTGAATTGAGAAATTTCGTTTGACTGTACTGTTTACAGCTCTTTTCTATGCGTATTTCCAAGTATACTAACATTTCGAAATCAAATTTGTTTGCTGGAATTACCGAAATTTCAAGAGCAGTTTTATGATGTATACAATATTTAGCTGTCAATAAAATAATATTCCATTGTTATCTTGGCAACAATAATGTTATTTCGTAAGTCAAATAGCTGTACGTGCAGGATAATATTGATGCATAGAAACATGCTGAGAGCTACACTTACGTGGATATTACATTGAAAATATGTTCTCCTCAAGTTTTGAAATTCTGAATAAATTCTACAACGTTCAGACTTAATAGGATGATACTATTCTCTTTATTGAACTCAATAAAATTTATAAATAATAAGCTTATCTCTTTTGTTACAGATCGACCCGAAAGTAGCGTTTCCTAGGAGGACACATCCAAAGGTAAGAAACAATTCAAATATTCGTTTAAAAAAATACAATACAGTTTGAAATCCAAGGAAAAAATTCTGAAAAGAACATTTCATTAGTAAGTAGCTTATTTATGTAGGCACTAACGTAGTTGCATCATACTCAAAAATATGCGACAGCGGAGGGAGGGGCAAAAGACGAGCGCTCGAAAAGAGCTCGCTCACACGTGGCTGCGCAGAGCACGCAAGAGAAAAGTGAATAACGAAGAGCCCTCTGCGCTCGTAATTATATTTAATTTAACGTCAAAACCTGAAATTATTTTCATTCTTGTTCGAAGCGTGCGAAATGAGAGAAATTCGTCGAGCTTAATAATATAAATGCCGAGCACGCGAGTGGCTGAATCGCGCTAATTTTAATTGCACCCCTTTACAAATTCTTTTCATGCGCGTTCGCGATTTTCACTTTTAGTAAATTGCTTCGTGCGCTCGGAATTTCATTCTCTTAGAGAGAGAGAAAGTCAATCCTTTTTTCATTGACCAGAGTTTGCAAACACCTTGCACTGCGACTTTCTTTGGATTTATGCAAACTTTTTGTTTTAACTTCGAGCAGATTTGAATTTATTTGCGGCTTTTTCTATGACTTGAAATTCTGTTATTTCATTATTGACCGAACGCCGGATAAAAAATCTTGCTAGGTTTACAAAGTGTATCTGTAAGGTAAATATAAAAAGTACTGTTCGCTCGGAATAAAAACGCTTTATGCAAAAACGATTTCTATGGAACAAGGAAAGAACAAAACGAGACTTGTATCTGCGACATACAAGCTTTTCTTCTCTCGCAATAAATTAATGACTGTTAATCGTAAAATGGGTGTTGAAACATTGGAGTTGCAGTAGGGAGTCGCGGCTGGAACGGGCATGCAATTTTCATGAAATGCCGCATGACACGTGCTCTGCTCTTTTTCTGCACCTTTTTGTTTGCGCGCGCGTTACTAAGAAAAAATTTTGCCTAAAAGAGTAATGTATCTACTCCCTTTTCTTTCCGTCACGTCTGCCTGTTTAATCTTAGCTTTTTCAACTTTTCTTGTTTTTCCTTCTACTTGTCTATACTGTTTTTTACTTTTCATTCCATTTAACAGATTGTTTTCTTTATATTTTACACGTGGTTTTTTTAGATTGCCGTTAAAGATTTCCAGTATTTACGCTTACAAATCTGAAAATCTAGTTTTAGTATATTTTTCTATCACGATTTTTCTCCGTCTTGTGTGTATCTTTCTTAATTTTTTGTGTCGTGATACACAGTATCTCGCACCTCTACCGTTGCCAGATAGTGTATATATGTGCCGAGTGAGGAACATGCACGACTTCGCGATTTTATTTCACTCTCTTTCCTCTCTGCATCCTGTCCAGAAATTTATAGAGCCGTCTATGATTTTTTTGCTCCAGCATGACTGCGAAAAGTACCTTAGGAATATTACCGAAGGTCTCTTTGCTGGTAAAGAGTTCAGTCGAGACGAATGAATTATGTTAAATTAACTGAACGTGTCGTGTACTTTGACTTAATTTTGTACGTATATTGTGTACAATTTCTCGAGTTAAGTACGTAGGAGCCACGTTGTAATCATTTTTTTCTTACTTCTGTATGTCACAGCAATATTTTTAGATCCTCAATCATTAAATGGATTGTCGCATTTATTATCAGAATGTTGAAAATGAAATTCCCTACTCATCAACAAATATGCTATTTGAAAAGAAAAAATAGAAAAACAAAACTTCGCATCGGCTTTAATTAAATTAATTACAGTTTCACAATGTGCTAAAGTTGGAAGTTTACTCTGAACAGTTGGATTATTGTTCAATGTACAGCATGACAAGTTAAAGGTTATGAGAAAGTTGAGAGAAAAAAGTCGACATAGAAAGTAACTAAAGTTATAAATCAGTTTACATTACATAAAAATGTAGAGTTTCGCAAACTATTGATTCCATAACGGTACTTTATATAGAGTTGAGATTTTAGTCAGAGGTAAGAATGACTTCTTTGCCAAGTTGTTTTAGCTCACTTACAATACCAAGTCTCTAATTATTATAAATCAATATACTTTTATGTTTACGCGATGTAAAAGAAGTTCATAAAAGTACAGTTTTCAAATAGCAATCTTCGAAATTGCTTTATTGGTATTATAATGATTTGTTTACATTTCTACGGTGAATAATGATGTATAGTCTGATGCGAGAAAGATAGCGCACACGAGTAGCACACACATATACACTCCCTCTCGGGGATTCGGAGATAATAGAAGCGAAGCGCGCGAACGATAAAAAAAAGAGGTTCGCGCGAGCGTAACGAGCTGCCGACTCCCCAGGGTGTTCGGCACTACTCTCCCTCTCTACATCACGTGCGGGATTCGCTTTGTTTTTTCGGTGCCCGCACGGCATCAGGTAAGTATCTGCCAGCGTTGATATTGGTTTTTCCTCGAGAAGCCGCTGCCATTGTATAGATCACTCTCTGCTCTATGATTCGTTTTCATTTGACTTGCACTTCAATTCTACACTTGCAATTGCTCTTTGCTCGCGATGCGAGCGAAGGATCGAAATCTTATCTTAGGATAATTGCTTTTATTAGATTTTCTCTATTTCTCGTACATCTTTTATCACATTAATATCTCTATAACAAAGAATGATTAGTAGTTACAATAAGTATACTGTCAGATGAATAGCTATAATGAAATTTCGAAAATATATTACAGAAGATCGAGATTAATTCAGTAAAATAATTTATTTAAACTGCACAAGTATACCAGTAAATATTAACAGTTTAACCACAGTGCGAATCAGCAAAACGTCAAATCATACTAAAGTAATGTCAAGTATACTAATAAAATTTAACGAGGGACACGGCTCGTTAAGAAAATAAAGCAGGATACATTTAAGATACTCTCAAAATGTAACTTCAGTGTACTTCAGAACAGTCATCCGCAATATTCTACTTGGTGGAGAAAAGTTGCGACCTGCTTGCAAACGGAGCATTCTCCCATTCCCTCAAGCAACCCTGTTGCATTCATTGCGTGAAAGAACGTCGACGACATTACGGCGACGGACGCGCGGACAGCCCTAAATACTCGGTGGCGCGCAGCCGGAAGAAGAACGAAGATTCCATGCATTTTATAACGAGACCAGCTCATTCAGCCTGCACTGTCTCGTGTTTACTCGACCCCTTCGCTTTTCTCACGGACACACGTTTTGTGTGGACAAGAGCTCAAGCGTCTGCGTTAGTCGCTTTTTTTGTTGTCAATTTCTTTGTTTTCTTCGGGAAGAAACATCTTTAAGCTGCATAGACATTGTCTGCTGCCGTGACTGAGTTGCTTTTTCCTTTATTGAAGTTATGAGCTTGTTTGTATTTACACATACATTATTTTTGCTATGGCCCGCGTTTGATTTGATAGTGTTCTTCAATCAGTTTCTCCAAACTCGTCTCTAATAATGTGATACTTCAAAAAAATCTAATAGCTTGTTTTGTTCAACGAAATTCAACTGCCAACAACTCGGATTATTCTTTGACAATAGTGCATTGTCGAGCGTGCACAAGTCAAGCAAACACATAAGGCAGAGACTTCAAAATATTCTCGGCGGGCGTATATTTGAGTTTCATCTCGGCAAACTCAGGTAAATTAAGTTAAACAAGAAACAAACAGGAACCGTGCGGAAAAACTGCAAAACTAATAAGCACATACACGCGCCTGGAGGCAGAGAAGTCGCGCGCTGGAAAAGTGGACGTCCCTTGGGATCGTTCTCTCTCTTTCTCTCTCTACTCGAGTGGTATCGCAAGCAAGCCAAGAGGAACGGATATCGGTGTCTCCTCCTCGGGGATACCCAAGCCAAGATCGCCCCAACCACCTAGACTTTATTTATTTTCCGTGGTTCTGACTCGATATCCGTCCTTCAATTGCGTGTGACGACCCTCTGCTATAGGTTGTATTTCCAAGGTTTCATATATTTTTTCTACTTAGAAAATTGGTATTACTGATGTGAATGCTGAGCATTTATAATTAAAAAAATATATGCCCTGAAAAAATGTAAATTGAAACTTTAAGAAGCCATTCATCGTTTAAATCGCATAATATCCATCCACAAACAAGTGCATCCATAAGTTGAATCCAAACTACATTGTATTTGGAAAATAAATGACGTGCACAGAATAAATAAACAAAATGAAAACTGAGGAAAATAGTCAGCATCTGAAAATAATCGATGTTGCAGCGTTGCAGCAGCGAGCGGCAGTAGGCCATCGAGAAGCAGCGTGGCGATGGTGGCGTAGTTAGAGCGTCCAATATTCGAAAGAGCCACCGCGGCCACGATATCGCATCGGAATTTATAGTCGTTTGCTCGTAAATCCTTAGCCCCCTTGCCGCCATAATCTTCGACCAAACTTTCATTCGCCTATAAATGTATAAACCGTGAGCAGCAGGTCGGTTCTGACCGAACGCGGGCACGCTTCACTCGAATTAGTATCTGCAGGCAATGCATAATACGCCGGAGACGGAAGCTTCAGCTGCCGAGTAGAAAGAGAGAGATAGTCATAGTAAGCGCGTGCGCCAAGATAAGCAAGGCTCTAAGTCTGGCTTGATGGAGCAGCGCCATCAGCCGTCGACGTAATGGCTTATGGATAATGTATGGAAGGCAGTCCCCATCACAGTGCCTCGAGCGCCAACTTCTTGCACCTTTTTTTCCGGTTTTGTTACCGTGCAAAGTGCGTGCAGATAGGCAAGTGCGCCAAAAATTTTTCCAGGCCGCACCTGCACACGCGAGAAATACCAGTGCTTTACACTGATATAGGTATACGCCTGCCGAACGACAAGTTCGTAAACGTATGACGAAACGACGTGCAATAAACAAATCTTGATAAACACGCCGCGCAATAATAGGCGCACTGACGCTACTGCTCTGTGTGTATATAGTCGTAAAGCTTGAAAGCCTAGCTTGCAAGGCTTTGTTTTCTCCATTCGCATTTTTGTTGCGCGATACCTTCCTTCTTTCG